GAACCAGTAGCCCCCGGCTCTCATGCCACCTCAACTGCTGCCGCTGCTGTAGCCAGCACCTTGCTAATGCTAGGTGTCCCCGCTCTGGGCCTACTGCAACCAGGACCTTGGCTCTGCTGCCAGACCAGGCTGCCACTGCCACTGTCTCACCAAAAGTCCCGCCCTCCTCCAAGATGTCACCTTGCCAGCATCTCCATCATGAAAACTCTGGTCACGCTGCCGCCTCCAATCGCCGGAGGAGATTGCTGCTGCCACCGCCTACCTTGGACAGTCACCATGAGGAGCCGTATCCATTGCTGCTCCTGACTACCAGGAGGAGCTGCCATTCTGCACATGGCCCGCTCTAGCCAATTTCACTGACTAACCTGCTGCAAAAGGCTCCAAAGTAAAGAAAAACTAAAGAAAAAAATAGAAAAAGAGCAGAAGTAAAAAGAAAGAAAGAAAAAAGAAAGCATGCAGGAACAGAAGAGCCCCAGGCAAGCATCCATACGCAGCCCTGCTACTCCGCAGCCTTCTTGAAGCTGGAGGAAACCTTGTATCAGGAGGCAACTGCAATACCTTCCCACCATCATGTTATATAGCCAGTGCTGGGGACATTGGGAATCATGCACCCACCAGAGGCTAAATGAGCCTCCAGTAGACAACTAAGGGCTATTTCCAGCCTCTGCAAGGATTTGGCTGGCATTGGATGGCGCTGTCATCATTTAGGAAGCCGATGCACTGCATGGGAAGACCACTGAATAAAGCCTGGCAGCCTTCTACTGAATTCAAAGGGAAGGTTCCCTTCATTTATGGACATTCCATGCAGGAACCACCACATCAATAATGTCTACTCTTACATTAACAGGGTTACCATATTCACCGATCTTCTCCACCCCCAAAATTGCCAGGTTTTTGGCTACTTACCTGACCCTGATGCCTCATTGTGGAGCCCACAACTGTACACAATCCTCCAGATGAGGTCTAATAGTGTCTTGTAAAATTTAAATGTGACTTCCTTGCTTTTGTACTCTTTGGCTTCTATTAATAAAGCTGAGAACAATGTATGCTTTATTTACTGCTCTCTCCACTTGTCCTGCCACCTTCAATGGTCTGTGCACATACACACCAAGGTCCATTTGTTTTTGCACTACTTTAGAACTTTACCCTTATTTTAAATTTTCTTTCAGTATTCTTCCAACAAAAGTACATCGCCTCACATTTCTCTATTCTGAATCTCATTTGCCACATATCTGCCTACTCCACCTACTTAGATCATAGAATAGATCATACAATCACTACAGTGTGGAAACAGGACCTTCAGCCCAACAAGTCCACACCGATCCTCAGAGCACCCACCTAATCTACACATCCCTGAACACTATGGGCAATTTACCATGGCCAATCCACCTAGCCTGCACATCTTTGGACTGTGGGAGGAAACCGGAACACCCGGGGGAAACCCACGCAGACACAGAGAATGTTGTTTTGGAGGTCTGCAACATCCTCTTCACAGTTTACAATTTTTCCAAGATTAGTATTATTCATAAACTTAGAAACTGTCCCCTGTGCACCAAAATCAGATCATTAATACACATCAGGAAAAGCAAGGGCCCCAATGTGGAACTCCATTACAAACCTTTCCTCCAGCCTGAAAAATATCCATTGGCCATTAATCTGTTTTCTCATCACTCAACCAAATTTTATATCCATGTTACCACTGTCCCTTTTATACCATGACCTACAACTTTCCTCATAAGTCTGTAAGGAACTGTATCAAATGCCATCTGGAAAACCATGCATACCCCATCAGAGGTGTTACCCTCATCAACTTTCTGTTACCTTTTAAAAAAACTCCAGCGAGTTAGTCAAGCACAATTTCCACATGCTGACTGTTCCTAATAAATTCATCATTTGCCACATGACTACTGATTGTATCTCAGCTAATTGTTTCCAAGAATTAGAAGGAAGTCGAGAAGAAAACCTCTTACCCAGAAAGTGGTGGAATTCCAAAACACTATGCTTAAACCCTCATCACATTTAAAAAGCACTTCTAAGGAGTCATAATCTACAGGGCAACAGGTTGAAAGCTGGAAGTATTGAGTGTTTAGTCATGCTGGAAACTAGTGCCAGAATGCAACACCACTTGAAAACCAAAAGGAAATTTATCCAAAAATACAGTGTGATAGATGAGACTTCAGTTGCAGGTGTGAGTGAAGTGTCAACAGGCCAAAAACAGGTCTCTGCAGGTGATCAAGAGTGTGAGAAAGTGTCAACAGTTGAATAACGAGCGAAAGGATTACCTATAATCCAATTAACTGAGGCAGAGAGATAATTACAAATAATTAAAAATAAGGTGGCGCTAGAGACAAACCAAATGACTGGAATAACACAATAGGTATAATAGTCACATGCCAAGGGTCACAACAAAGTAATAAGTAAATCAAAACTGTACAAACTGATTAAGGTAGAGAGATCATAACAATTTATCAAGGTGATGGTGTCAAAACAGGACAGTAAGGAAGATTTTCCAGATACAGAAGTGTGGTGGGGTCGCCTGTAGTGTGACATGAGACCAAGATCACGACTGAGGCCGTCTTCATGGGTATGGAACTTGGCTATCAGTCTCTGCTTGGTGATTCTGTGTTGTTGTGTATCTTGAAGGCCGCCTTGGAGGACACTTACGTGAAGATCGGAGGCTGAATGTCCTTAACCACTGAAGTGTTCCCCAACTGGGAGGGAACATTCCTGTCAGGCAAATGTTGCATGGTGTCCATTCATCTGTTGTTGTAGCATCTCTGCATGATCTTGCCAATATACCATGCCTTGGGACATTATTGCCTGCAGCATATGAGAGAGACAACATTGGCTGAGTACACCTGCTGTGTACGTGGCGGTTGGTGTTCCCACATGTGATGATAGTAATCCATGTTAATGATCTGGCATGCCTTGCAGTGGTTGCCGTGGCAAGGTTGTGTGGTGTTGCAGTCGATGTTGTCCTGAAGGCTGGGTAGTTTGCCACAAACGATGGTGTGTTTAAGGTTTGGCAGTTCGAGCAAGACTTAGACACACGCATCTCCATCAAGGATAAACACCTCAGTACTTCACTCTACCACAAGTCCACGAATAATCTTACAGTGCTGCACTTCTCTAGTTTCCACCTAAACATGTTAAAGAAGACATCTCCTACGGATAAGCCCTGGTCAGATGAGGAGGAACAGGTCGAACACCTAAAGATTTTGAAGGATGCCCTCATAAGAATGGATACAATACTCAACTCATCAATCGCCAGTTCCAATGTGCCACAGCGAGAAACAGCAATGACAGCCTCAGAAGACTAACATGGGATACGATTGATAGAGTACCCTTCGTCATTCAGTACTTTCCTGGAGCGGAAAAACTACACCATGTTCTTTGCAGCTTTCAACATGTCATCGATGATGACAAACTTCTCGCCAAGATCATCTCTACGCCTCCACTTCTCACCCTCAAATAATTGCCAAACCTTAAACAGACCATGGTTCGCAGCAAACCACCCAGCCTTCAGGACAACATTGACCTCAACATCACACAACCCTGCCATGGCAACCGCTGCAGGACATGCCAGATCATCAACATGGATACTACCATCACATGTGGGAACATCAGCCACCATGTACACAGCAGGTATTCATGTGACTAGATAATGCTATCTCTCTCATACACTGCAGGCAAGAATGCCCCAGGGCATGGTGTATTGGCGAGACCATGCAGACGTTATGACAATGGATGAATGGACACCGCGCAACAATCGCCAGGCAGGAATGCTCACTGCCAGTCGGGGGACACTTCGGCGGTCGTGGACATTCAGCCTCTGATCTTCAGGTAAGTGTCCTCCAAGGCAGCCTTCGAGATACAAAACAACGCAGAATCACCGAGCAGAAACTGATAGCCAAGTTCCGTACCCATGAAGATGACCTCAACCGTGATCTTGGGCTCATGTCGCACTACATGTGACCCCACCACACTGTTCTATATCTCGAAGATCTTCCTTACCGTCCTGTTTTGACACGATCACCTTGATAAATTATTACGATCTCTCTACCTAAATTAGTTTGTACAGTTTTGACTTACTTATTAGTTTGTTGCAACCTTCAGCATGTGAATCTTAACCTATTATGTTATTCCAGTCATTTGGTTTGCCTCTAGCGCCACCTTATTTTTAATTATTTGTAATTATCTCTCTGTCTCATTTAGTTGGATTATAGGCCATCCCTTTACTCGTTATTCAGCTGCTGACATTTTACTCACACTGTCTGACACTCTTGATCACCTGCAGAGACCTATTATTCAGCCTGTCACACCATTTGTATAATCTTTTGATCTCTTTGTCCATGACCTCTCTGCTTATAAATTCTGTGCCTGTGTGCCACTCTCTCACTTCACCTGACAAAGGGCCTGCACTCCGAAAGCTTGTGATTTTAAATAAACCTGTTGGACTATAACCTGGTGTCATCTGATTTCTGACCTTGTCCACCCCAGTCCAACACCAGCACCTCCACATTCAACCTTCAATTGTACTTCAATTCAATTCTATTTTGTACTGTTTACTTAAAATCAATTGCTTAAATAGCTGATGTCATTGGATGTATTAGCTTACTGTCCTGAACATGTGACACATTAATGAACACACAACTGATGCTGAATTACCTCAACTTGTGAATCAATCTTTGTGCAGAAAGTCAACTTTCTCGTCATCAGACAGCTCAAAATGTTTAAGCCCATTGAATCCCTTTGCTCCCACTAAGATTTGCTACTAAGTTGTCAACTGGGAATAGGACAAGCATTAGATGTCAGGTAGAAAAAGTGATTGTTACATTATCTTCATTATTACAAACAAATTCAAATTTAAATAAGAAGAAAGCTCTAATTTTGTTCCTTAAAACAAAGCAAGAAATGACAATAATCATTATCATTGACCATTGCAAAATGAATGCAGAACATACTGTTTGCAATAGCTTGCATTGTAGGATAATGCTTACCTCTCCACCATTCACATACTCCATGACAAAACACAAACGATCTTTAGTCTGGAAAGAATACTTCAAAGACTGCAATATAAAGAATCATAAGCGTACAGAGAGTTATTTGGATTATTTAGCTTTGACAGTTGTCATGTTACCGCATAGAACAGATTAGATTCAAAATTTTAATGCAAATATACTTTCCTCTAAGTGACCCCTTAATAGTTACTAAAAAGCTGCATTTAACTAGAACTAAGCACTCCAAAGAGCTCTGATAATACTAAATAGTGATGAAAGGTGCCAAATGTTTATATCCAATAGCAAGTTCAAAAATTATAAATTAATCTCAGATTAATTTATAAAAAAACGAAAGAACTGCGGATGCTGTAAATCAGGAACAAAAACAAAGTTGCTGGAAAGCTCAGCAGGTCTGGCAGCATCTGTGAAGGGAAAAACAGAGTTAACGTTTCGGGTCCGGTGACCCTTCCTCAGATTAATTTATAATTGACAGTTATTTAGTGACATTTACTTTTCAGTATTTTATACGTTAGAATAGAATAAGAATGAAACTGAAAATCAGAGATGATACATTCTACTACTGGATACTGTTCGTTCCCTTGTGAAGCAGAACATTTTCACAACCAGTTTAAAAATATCAAACATTTTCTGCTCCATTTGAATAACATTAAAAGGGAGTCACCTACCTTTAGAAGAAAATATGTTGCAAACTTATTTTTTCTTCGCATTAGCCATAAGTACAAAGCATTACTTTCTGCATTACTGCATCACTAACAGGTCACAGTGATCGAAGTAAATGAATATAAATTAATACTATGTTAAGTGCTCATAACATTTACGAAATAATTAAGAAATCTGTGCTCCTTTAATGTACCACAAACAACTTTTTAATAATAGAATTATCTTTGATCTCATAAAATGAGATTGCAACCATGAAATTTTACATTGAAAATGCATTATTGTGCCTGAATTCTAAGAAAAATTGCACATAGACCCAATGATAAAAGCCTCAAGAAATAAAGTACTTTGTGCTGTGATTTCTTGGTAACCTGATGTATTTTGCCTTTGGATATGGTTTGGAACTGTTTGCTGCAACAAAATGCAAGTAGCTTTCTCACACTACATTAATTGTAATTTATAAATGTATCAGTTAGTACGTTCAAATAAAAGATTTCATACTCTGTGCCTATTCCAATATATGAATACAGAACAGATGTTGCTACATAATTTTGTAGCTAAGTTATAGCTATAACTGTCATTGTAAGCACCAATTATTCTCTCCAGGTCTGGTTTGTACCAAAACATTTCATAAACTAAAAGAAACAACAGTAGTTAGATCTTAACGATTAATGCCTGAATTGCAAAAAGACAAGTAGTTTTATAGTACTTACCGTTAGAAATGGATGCCTTGTGTTTTTTAATACTCTGCTTTCTGTAAGTGTATGTGCTACCTCATCCTAATAAAAGGGAAAACAATTTTAAGTTCAAATATCTTAATGGTAGCTGAGCTTTAGAAAACAGTTTAAACTAAACCTTAATATTAGCTTTGCTATACTCTTGTAAACTAGCTAGGTAGACCAAAATTTTGCCAGTTACAACGTAACTAGATTTTTACTTCCGTAAGTTCATAACAGTCTACTAGCAACTGTTTAACAAAAGGTCGGAAAAATCAATGTGCTGTTAAGATTTCTCTTAAGGATGTTCTTGGCTGCCTGTCCAAAACAAAAATAAATTGATGACTCAGTTTATGATCACTTTTCCTGAAATACTTTGAGTCATACATTCATGTAGCATGGAAACAGACCCTTGGATCCAACTTATCTTTACTGACCCAATTTGCTGACCTGACCTAGTCTCATTTGCTAGCATTTGGCCCATATATCTCTAAAGCCTTCCCAGTCACATTCCCATCCAGATGCATTATAAATGTTGTGATTATACCTGCCTCCACCACTTACTCTGGCAGCTTGTTCCATACGTGCACCACCTACTGTGTGAAAAAGTTACTCCTCAGATCATTTTTTAAAATCTTTTCTCTCTCATCTTAAATTTATGTCCTCTAATTTTGGACTCTCTCACCCCAGGAAGATGACTTTGGCTATTCAATCTAGCCATGCCCCTCACGATTTTATAAATCTCTACACGGTCACTCCTCAATCTTCAAAGCTCAAGGGCAAAAAGCCCCAGCCTAGATTCTTTTGACTCTGGAACAATTCCTACAGATTGGAGGGTAGTTAATATAACTCCACTATTTAAAAAGTGAGGTAGAGAGAAAGCAGGGAATTATAGACCAGCGAATCTCAGAGCGTTAGTGGGGAAGACACTAGAGTCCATCATCGACGATTTTATAGCATAGCACCTAGAAAAGTTGCAAATTTGACACACAGCATGGATTTACAAAAAGGATAATATACTTGACAAATCTACCAGAATTCTTTGAAGATGTAACCAGTAGAGATAGTTACACCCGTGTGGTTGTGGTTTATTTGGACTTTCAGAAGGCTTTTGACAAAATCCCACATAAGAGATTAATTTGTAATATTAAAGCGCATCGAACTGCAGGCAGTGTACTGAGATAGATATAAAATCGGTTAGCAGACAGGAAACAAACAGTAGAATGAATGGGCTGTTGCCAGAGGTTGCAGAGAGATACAGATAGAGAGAGAGACAGAGAAAGGTACAAGCTGTTGACATTGCTGCCTGGGGAGATGTTAGCCAGAGGTTGCAGAAAGATAGAGAGAGAGAGAGATAGACAGAGAGAGACAGAGAGAGAGAGAGAGAGGAGGGGGGGATGGTTTCCAGCTACCAACATCGCTAACAGGGGGTATTGAATGCATAAGTGCTGACACGAAGAAAGAAGCAGCTTGTGAACTAAAAATGACCTGTGCCCAGGTGCTAGTTTGAGCCGATTTAAACCGGCTTGAATTAACTAAGCTCTTCAACAAGTAAGAAGGCTGAGGTAATGCGAAAGCCTTATTTTGACAAGAAATAATGAGGTAATGCTACCCAAGTCTCTGGGCCAGGACCAATGAGGTAAAGGCATGCGATAAGTGAATTAGCCTGAGCCAAAGGGAAGAAGACAGCATGACTTGAGAGAGATAAGAGAAAGAATAAAAAGACAACCCTTGGGGCATGCAACCAGCAAAAACTCCGAAGACCAACCATCGCAGAAGCAGGCCCTACGTCAAGGATGTGGTGATGACATCGAGTGTAGTGCTTGGCCAGCATCAATCCTCGTTAGCAGCAGCAGCTATCCTGTTCGGGTAATAGCTTTTATATTCTGTGATTACTTGGGGAGTGTCAGAACACTCTAATGGGTGTATGAGTAGGTCCTGCTTCAGTTTGTGGGAAAATATTTAAGGTCTAGTTTTGTGATAAAAACATTTAAGCAACATGTGTCTTGCTTAATGCACTAATATAAGTAATTTGTGAGGTTACGAGAATTGACTCTTCTCCTTTCTGTATAAGCCAATAACTGGAGCCGGTGTTCTCCAGGACTACCAACAACAGGGTTTTTTTCTGAAATGGTAGATGGTAACTAGTGGAGTGCTGCAGGGATCGATACCAAGACCCTAGCTATTCACGATATATGTTAATGATTTAGGTGAGGGAACTAAATGTAACATCTCAAAATATTCGGATGATACAAAGCTGGGTGAAAGGTGAGCTGTAAGGAGGATGCAGAGATTTTTCACACAGAGAGTAGTTCCTATGTGGAATGAGCGCCAGAGGAAATGGTAGATGCAGATACAGTTACGACATTTAAAATATATTTGGACAGGGACATAAATAGGAAAGGTTTAGAGGGATATGGGCCATATGGGGAAAATGTTTGGGAAACCTGGTCGGCATGGGCGAGTTGGACCTAAGAGTCAGTTTCCATGCTGTATGACTCCATGGCTCGATTCAGCCTCTCCTTTTTGTCTCAAACCTTCCAGTCCCGGCAACATTCTTGTAAATCTTTTCAGCACTCTCTCAAGTTTATCAACATCCTTCCTATAGAAGGTTATCCAGAATTGTATGCAGTATTCCAAACGTGGCCTCATCAATGTCCTCTACAGCCGCAACATGACAGCCCAACTCCTATACTCAATGACCAATGAAGGCAAGCATGCCAAACTCCTCCTTCACCAGACTGTCTACCTGCGACTCCACTTTCAAGGAACTATGCACTGGCACCCTTAGGTCTCTTTGTTCAGCAACACCCTCCAGGGCCCTACCAATAACTGTACAAGTCCTGTCCTGGTTTACCTCACCAAAGTGCAATACCTAACGTTTATCAAAATTAACTCATCTGCCACTCCGTGACCCATTGGCTCATCTGATTAAGGTCCCATTCTTATTCACTGCCCACTATGCAGTGATTGTAATGAGGTCAGCCAGGTGGACCTCGTTGAATTTGAGTCCCCTGATTGGGGCTATTGGAAGATATTTCTGAAAAATTGTCCAGTGTAAATATATGGGTAGAAATTACAATTAAGAAAGGAAAGATCACTTTGATGGGATTGTACTAAAGGACCCCAACAGTAAGAGAGAAATTGAGAAACAAATATGTAGAGAGATCTCAGATATATGCAAGCATAATAAGGTTGTAATAATGGGGGAATAATGGGGGATTTTAATTTTCCAAACATTGAGGGGGACTACCACTGTGTTAAAGGTTCAGATGGTGAAGAATTTGTCAAACATGCTCACGAAAATTTTCTTTATCAGTATGTGGATGCTGCTAATAGAGAAAGAGCAAAACTAGACTTTCTCTTGGGCAATATGGCAGGGCAGGTGACTGAAGTAAAAGTAAAAGACCACTTTAGGTCTAGCGATCATAATTCTATTAGTTTCAAAATGGTTATGGAAAAGCATAAGCCTTCCATAAAAGTTAAAGATTTTAATTGGAGTAAGGCAAATTTTAATGGTATGAGACAAGAACTTTCAAAAGTTGATTAGAGTAGACTACTGTTTGCAGGTAAAAGGACATCAGGCAAGTGGGAGACATCCAAGAGTGTGATGACGAGAGTTCAGAGGCATTTTGTTCCTCTTGAAGGCTAGGGCTGGTAAGATTAAGGAACAGTGGATGAACAAAGATATTGAGGTTCTAGTCAAGAATAAAAGAGAATCTTATTTTAGATATAGACAACTTGGTTCAATTGAATTTCTTAATCAATATAAAGAGTGTAGGGACATTCTTAAAAGAGAAATCAAGAAAGCAAAGAGGGGATATGAGCTAGCATACACATAAGGTCAAGGATAATCCAAAAAAATTCTACAAATACATTAAGAGCAAGAGAGTAACTAGAAAAAGGTTGTATCTCTTAAAAATTAAGGAGGACATCTTTGGTCGAACACCAAAAGATGGGAGAAATAGTAAATGAATATTTTGCGTCAGTTTTTACTGTGGAAAAAGAAACGGAGTCTAGAGAGTGCAGAGAAATAAACTTCCATGTTTTAAAAACAGTTCACATTACAGAGGAGGAAGTACGGGATAAATCTCCAGGACCTGAACTAATGTATCCCAGAATGTTATGGGAAGGAAAGAAATTACAAGACACCGTGTAGAAATATTTGCATTATCTATAACTACAGTTGACGTGCCTGATGACTGCCGGGTGGCTAATGTTGTACCTTTGTTTAAGAAAGGTTGTATGGAGAAACCAGGGAACTACAGACTGTGAGTCTGACTTTGGTTGTGGGTAAATTGTGGAGGTGATTATAAAATATAGGAATTATGAACATTTAGAGAGGCAAAAATTGATTAGGGATAGTCAGCATGGTTTTATGCTGAAGACTGGACCCTGTATGTGGAAAGAATGCATTAATTTTTCCCAGGCAAATGACATTGGGGCAGATGAAAAGCAACAAGTAATTCTCCTGACAGCCTACGGACCCACAGATTTTTCAGTTATTAGAAGCCTAACCTTCCCTGAAGCACAAGACACGAAAACCTTTCAAGAGTTAACAGATTTAGCTAAAGAATATTACGACCCCAAGCCTCCTCAAATTCCAAGATGCTATGCATTTTACTTGGCAGTTCGAGATTCAGGGGACTACGTATCAGAATTTTTGAGGAGGTTAAGACAGCTGGCAGAGGCATTAGATTTTGGTTCAACCCTAAGTGAGATGCTGAGAGACCGTTTGGGATTAATGATGTGATCATGCAAAAGTGCCTATTAACTGAAGCCCAACTTTCAAACAGGCACTACAACTGGCTTTATAATTGGAAAATGTGACAAGTGAAGCTTATGAGTTACAGGGTATTCTGACGGAAGTGGACACCCTCATGAGGCTGATTGAATTTGGGGAACACCTCGAATGAAAGCAATTGCATTGCCTCACTCAGGACATATCCTGAGCAGAAGTACTCCAGGGCAGCCCACAGCAAAACCATGAAACAAAGTCAAGCCTCAGCCAAACGGTTAACGTTTTCTCTAGGATCCAGACCGGCAGGCCATTGTAGTTGTTC